AACAAACCTGACCCAGTTCCACCAGTTCTGTCAGGAGGAATGGGCCAGAACTCATCAGACTGTTGTGAGAAGCTTGTGGAAGGAAACCCAGAACGTTTGACCCAAAGTCATAGAGTTTAAAGGCAACGCTAGCAGATCCTGAGGAGATGGATGGAAACTTCTGACTCTGAAGAAAGTCATAAAAAACTCCATCTCTCTCAGTATTCTGGTGTTTAGCAAATAGAACTAATGTTGATGATGCTGACTGACCTGAAACAGGAAACGTTTAGTCTGATCTATAGTCAGACACTAATAAAAAAAAAGGTTATGTGTCTTTTTATGCAGTGAATGTAAACTTCTGGTTTCAACTGTAAATACAGCCTCAAACATGAGTTGATTTATTCAGTATTTATTTCACAAAATGGTTAATATGTCATTTTTCCTGTCAAGATATGAAACCTTTTATTTTTCCAGCTTCTCAGGTCTGAGCTTTGCTGCTTTTAAATGTTTAAATATTGTTAATAATTTAGAGGTTTGGACTGTGGGCTGTAAAAAAAGAAAAAAACATCTCTGAGGACATTTTTCAATATTATTACAGCTTTGACAAAGCAAACAGTAAATGAGAACTAATCAGACTAATGGTCCATATAGAAGAACACAGTGGTTGAAAACGGCGTTAACAGTTTGGTTAAAGGACGTTTTCCAGCTGTACATGTTTCTGGCAGGCCTTCTGTCTGCAGGGCTGTAGTGTGTAACTGTGGCCAGCAGGTGGCAGCACAGCGAATGTCAGTGGCTGTAGTAACCAGCTGTGATCAGCAGCGCTCTCACTGCTGGACTCTATAATTGATGCTGTTATATAAGGAAGCCCTGCTGCTGTCTCTGCTCTTATGTAACATGGAAGCGTCCTTCAGCCTCTCTTGGTCTGTATCTGCTCTGAGCCGAGCGCTTGGCAGCTTCAGCCTCCAGGAAAACAAACCAGATCCTCCTGCAGGAGCTGAAACATCAGAGGATCCTTGTAGATCACTGGGCTCCATCTTACACCAAAACAAACTGCACAACCAAGCAAACTTTACAGCCAAAAGCCCTCGACAACCACATGTTCACCTCACTTAAAGAACAAAACAAAACAAATGACAAAAACAGGAAATGTCACATTTTGTGGTCCTAAAACCTGTAAGTTCAAAGTACTAAAACCTGGAGGTTTGTCATCAAACAACCTGGAAGTCTTTACCCCTTAAAGCTGGGACTTTGTAGTTTGACAACCTGGTAGTTTGTAGTCCTTAGACCTGGAAATTTGTGGCCCAAAAACCCAGGAGTTTGTCGATATCAAAGCTGGCAGTTTGTAGACCTAAATGTTTGGAGATGTTTTAAGCCCCACCCCTCCATGGAAGACGCAAGAAGTTGGTTTTATTTTGTTTATTTCTTTGTTTTTTATCGTTAGTTGAACACAAGGACATTTTCAGGCAGGAGAAATCAACCAGTCAGAAACAAGTAACAGCATATGACATCATACAGCAGGACCATCTTATTGGCTGGCCACTCTTCAAAGGAAGACGATTGGTGGAAAGCAGTACAGGTGGGAAGGGCATTTTCACGTGGCACGACAAGGTGATTGACAGTCGAGGAGACAGTGTGTGTGTGTTGTTGTCATGCTCATCCCCATGGTGACATTCGTAAACAAAAACAAACATGTAAACAAATCAACAGCGAACAAAAAAAAAAAACATCACAACTAACAACTTCCTAACCGTTAACTCGTTATCTAATCGCACTGTCTGCAAGGTATTCACTAATCATCTAATTTACTAATGGGCCAATCAGCAAAGCAGAAAGTACAGGAGGTATGCTGTTGCCATGGTTAGAAAAGCTCGAGTCTGATTGGCTGTGGATTGAGGTGCTTCCATGGCAACAAATCAGGAGACCGGTTTGATGTGGCCGAAGACACAGACCAGTTTCTGTGGCTTGTAGCTTCTGAAGTGTTTATGTCTTGATATGTAACAATTTTGACATCATGAACAAATAAAAATCGACATAAATAACTGCATAAATAAAGACGACAAAAATAAATAAATATTGAATAAATAAACAGACTGGTGTGATTAATAATATGTGATTCATGCAGATCGATCGACGATGCAGGTGAAGACCGCTGCGTGTCCTCAATGGCAGTGACATCAGAGCATGTGTGCGTGCTGATTGGTTGCTTTGTTTGAGTTAAAGCTGCACTGACGATATCAGGAGAAATATTTCAAATAAAAAACAAAAGTAGTTTTAACACGACTACCGGGACCATCCAACTGTAAAACAAACACTGATAAATAACAGTCAGTGAAGGCATCATGAAGCCGGTCAGTGACGGCATCATGAAGCCGGAGAAAAACTACGTAAACATAGAAACACAGCTGGTCATTGTGAGGCTGTAACAGGGCGACTGAGGAAACATCTGGAAGAGTGCAGCTTTAACCTGAGACAGGTGTGCAGACAGGTGTGTCTATTTGTCGTTGATTCGTAGTTTGAAGGAAACCCGACCGGCAAACTTATCCCTCTCGCTGCCGTCGGCGAGAGTGTTGGAGGTGACTTTACACTCAATGTTGATGTCTGTGTTCATGGAGGCGTTCAGGAACTTCACGGCCACCAGCGGCTGAGTGTAGTTCACCTGAGACAATAAAGTTCACAGTCAAACAACCTGGAAGTTTGTAGGCCTAAACCTAGAAGTCTGTAGTCCTAAATCTGGAAGGTCATAGTCCTAAATCTAGAAGGTTGTAGTCCTAAATATAGAAGGTCGTAGTCCTACATCTGGACGGTTGTAGTCCTAAATCTAGAAGTTTGTAGTCCTAAATCTGGAAGCTTGTAGTCCTAAATCTGGAAGCTTGTCGTCTTAAATCTGGAAGGTTCTAGTCCTAAATCTCGAAGGTCGTAGTCCTAAATCTAGAAAGTCGTTGTCCCTAAATTTAGAAGGTCGTAGTCCTATGTCTGGAAGGTCGTAGTCCTATGTCTGGAAGGTTGTAGTCCTGCATCTGGAAGGT